ATAACATTCTTTAATTTGCACCAGCTAACAAATTCATCGTAGACCTTATCGTAAATTCTCTTAGATTTGGCGGGTAGTAAACTTAATTTTGCATCTTCTGCTGCTTTAAAAATTTCCGGTGGTATTCCGGAAACTACTTCATCGTCACTACTGTCCATTACATAAACAAAATATATAAAACTTCTTCGAAAATATACTAAGAAACTTGCAATACTTGAAGTCGACTGTAAATAAAAATGGCGTCTACCTATTCTTGTCCTATTGACTTGGTTGCTATGGTAACGCGTATAGGTATATAGATTATTTTTATTTTATCATCTTATTAGTTTCAATAAGACTTATTTTTATTTAACTATACAAATAATTTGGTAGATTGTTATACAGGGTGAGTTATAATAATATCGAGGTATAAAATTTATCCAACTTGAAACATTTATAATAACCTACTCACAAAAGGTGAAAAATAGAAAATAAAACATATGTATTAATAAACTATCATTAATACGGTCGTGCATAAAATGTTGTATATTTATTAATAAATGACTATTAAAACGGTCGTGCATAAAATATTGTATGTATTTCGGGCGTAAACAGCGTTTATGGACCTTACGTGTTAATAGCCCTCGCCTACCGGCTCGGGCTCTTACTTATACGTTGCGGTCCATAAACGCCTGTTTTACGCCCTTGATCCATAAATAACTATTATGTAGGTCCAAAAACGGTTGGAATTAGAGATGGGCAATAAATCGGGAACTGCTAATTATTCACTGCGAATGAAAATTCGCAATCGCAATCTGTTATCACAGCTTACCTATTAACTAGCTAGCAAACTCCCTACGCCGCCTATTGATGTGAAGAGATCAAAAGAGAAATGCCGAGGGTTAACATATCAGGTCCGCATTGAGCTGCTTTCGGCGTCTAATACGACAGCGCCGTATTTGTATTTTTCATTACTAATATTTTATAACTAGGTTAAATGCATATTGCATGAAATATTTAAATACAGATACTTTGATTTTAACAAAGTACGTTTCAAGTTGTAGGTAATGCCCGAAATTAATTTAAACAATCAAAAGCAAATAATAGAACAAATATAATTTATTTTTTCAACATTTTTTTAATAAGTACTATACACAAAATACATAAAAAAATACATAGGTAGGTACTACCTACAATATAAAAAATACATAAAATATTAAAATACGTAGATACTTAATTTACATACTACATACTAATTTTCATTATTCATTCCGCCAAATGAGCAACTTATTTTTATTAATTTATTTAAAATTCTTATTAATTTCCTTCAGCGTGTAATATAGCCTAACCCTAATGTATAAACGTACAACATAAACTTTAGGAAATTGCGAACAAGGATGACAGAAGGGAATAGTTTCGGAAATATTTAAAAATGTTTGGCAAATATCCGGAAGGATTGAGAACTTTTCAAAATTGGCCTGAAAGATTTCTTCAATGGCTATTATAAATTTGACGAAATCATTATGACACTGTACAATTATGAATTGTTCTACATTTATTTAACAAATAACCGCAGACATATCTGATAAAGTTTTTTGATAAATCATTTTTTTGATAGTCTGGTTATTTTATGTTCTAAAATTTGATGTTCTTTAGCGGGAGCTGATTGTTCTCTTGGGAGGGACATCCTTTAAAGTCAAAAGAACCGTATTTAAGTCGGCCTCGCAGTTTTCTGTTTCAGAATGCAATAAATTTGAACACAACAATTTTTTGAATATTCTGTGGAATTGCATAGGGGTTGATTTGTACAATTTCCATTAGACGAGCGAATTTTTCCAAACAAATTTTCCAAATCGTCTTGGTTTAACCTTCTCGTATAAAGATACTCATATTTCCCTTCTGCATTGAGATCATTCCATAAAGATAACAAAGTTTTGATTGAAATTTCAATACATTTAAAACATTTTATTTTTCCGGTTATATTTACATTATTTCGATCGAACAAAACCTGCGTGGCATATTTAACCTTCATTTTTTCGAAATTATTAGGGCTAATGTGCGCATTCGAAAGTTTAGACGCAGCCTTAACAGGGTACGTTTTGTCATGTTCGTAAAATGAATGAATATATTTCCAGGAAATAATATGATTGTCTACGACAAAATCGTATTTTAACATCATATTCCTGATTGCCTTAAAAATATGGGGAACATCAAACGTATAATCAACTTTCATTTTTAACAAAAAAATAGCTAGTGTCCCTTGAAATGTTGTTATGATACAATTTTTTAGTCCTAATAAATTTAATTTTTCGATTAATTCAATAATTATATCTTTGAGTGAGTTTGCCGAAATTTATTTATTTATTTATTCCAGAAACAAACAGGCATGAGCCTAATTACATGTTCCTACAGCGAAAATAGAAATCAACAAAAATACATAATATCTAATTAAATATATAAGTGAAATTATAATAAACAAACCTCGCTACTACAAAATTTTAACAAAGTTCATTAAAGAACAAAACTACTGAAATAATCAGAAATATTCAGGAATAATCAGAGCGTCTGCAAAACCCCACACCAAGGCCACGGAAATCCTACAAGGTTATGTCTCTAAATAGCCGAATGAGAAAAATAATAACCTAAAGGCTGCTTCCATTTCATATAAATACCTTTTAACTTAAAAACACACGCATTTAGGGAAGGTTTCAACACCATTTCATTTTTAGTATTCACTGCTAAACCTACTATAGAATCAGTCTTTGTATTGTAAAAAAGGTTGGCTTTAATGCTCATTTCGTCGATCACCAAAGAACAATCTTATTTTGGTGATCGAAACAAGCAGTTTTAACGGTCAACATTTTAAATAGTTAGGGATTGTTTATACCCATATTTACTTTTATTGCCCGAATGTGTTTCAGCAAAGTTTCCGTAGTCGGCAATGACAAATTTTTTTGTAAATATTGTCGGAACACCTTTGGTTCGCAAAAAATAATATTAAGGCATTTATTTTTAAACTCGTCTGTATATCTTCTTCCTCGTGGTTTCTTTTGTACTTGACTTACCAAATTATTGATAAACAGCGCTAATTCCTTGGGACAAAACTGGTATGTGAGGGCCTGGTATTCGTTCAAAGTGATCTCCTTATTTTTCTGAAGAGTTTCAACGCTGTTCCTTAACAATTTGTTCTCATATTTCAATTGAGAAATATTTGACTTGTACTTCTTCTTTCTGGGTGTGTTTGATGACATACTTGAAGGTGTTTGCGTCGATATTGTGGGAGACAATACATCCATTTCATCTTGATTTTCATCCGATTCCTGGATAGGTGTCACTTTAGGTCCTAAAATAAAATAAATAATGATTAATAATAATAATAATAAACCAAAAATAAATAATAAAAATAATTGTATATTTCTAGAATTTTTTTTATTTCTAAAATTTCTAGAATGAAATAAATTCTAGTAATAGGGACTATTTTGGGCAGAAAGTACCCACTGCATTAATGGCTAATAAACCATAATGAATGTATAATGAGATCATTCGGGATTACAACTTAGAATTGAAAATGCATTCTCATTTATTTCTGTTAGCTCTATAGAATGTAGGTACTTGCTGGGTTAATAGCTGGTAAACTCTAATTACTTTATCAGATATTACTGCTTACAATTAGGGGTTTAAAATTTATCTCTTTCAATTCTGGTATTGACCAGAATATTGACAATAGAAGCCTTATATTAATGCAATCTTATTATCAGGAGATGTAAAATACAAGCACTTAATCCCAAGCGAACCAATGTAGGTAGTTAATTAAACAAGAACAGAGGTTTCATAGGATAAAATGATTTCTTTCTTTCAATAAGGAAAATACTTTGATGAAAAATTACTTACTTGTAATTACGATGTTTTCTATGATATTAATTTTCAATGGAGAAAACAATTTCTGATTTGTTGGCAAACGAAGGGTGCTCGATGAAGATCCTTCTAGGGCCGGAAATAATGTAGAATTTGCATAATCGCTTAAATAGCGAGGCTCTGTCATATTCGTTTCGAAATGACGACTACAAAGTCTATACGATTTGGAGTGAGGGTAGCCATATGTGAGTAGTAGGGATTAAGTGTAAGGGGTTAAAGAAAAGGTCCTTTATTTCTCACAAGTCAATTTAATTGGCGACCGGTTTCGAAGCTGTCACTTCATCATCAGGCACACCTTGACTATTTCCATAGTCCATAGAATAAAGTTAATTGCAATTACTTTTACAATTACAAATTACATTTATGCGGTTATACCAAGCAAAGAGGAAAGCTAGGACAAAACTCATGAAAAACTACCGGATGATTTTTCCCAATCTTGTAATATGTTAATCTGGAATAATCATTAGATAGGTATACTGTTAAAATATCGTATATGTATAATATTTAAAAAAATCAACATTAAAAAATAAAATTTTAAAAATTAATAATTTAATTATTAAAATATTAATTTGTACTATGTATTAATTTTAATGTAAACAATTACATAAAAACATGAGTATTAGTCCAGGGCATTTAGATCAAAATCACCCGAATAGCGGAACTTTGCTCATACACCAGATATCGAGATGCGGTTTTCTGCATTGTGTTCAGGAAGGTCCAGGGAAAAAAGTTTACATGGTCTGGTTTAGCGCGTTTTTGGAAAAATGCCTTCTGGGCCGGAAAATGCATTTTCCAATTGCATCATAACTTGCACCATTATAGGAACGACTGGAAACTCGGAAATCATTATTCGGGGGCTTTCTGGACTCGAACTCGATTCTGGCATTAGAATTACCCGGGGGTGGCTCTGTGGGGGGTGACTTGGGGAGAAATGGCAGCGTGCATGAAAGTCGCTCCAAACTCGTTACTCGGGGGGTTTTCGGGGATGCCTAATTCAATTCCGGCATTGGAATTACCCGGGGGTGTTCGAGGTGACTACCGGGGTGCCCGGGGGCTGATTCGAGGGCGAAATTTCAGGGTTCATGGAAATGGCTCGAAATTCCTTACTAGGGGGTTTTCATGAAAATCGCTCCAGACTCGTTTTCGGGGAGGGCAAATTCATTTATAGCCTTAGATTCCCTCGAGGGCACTCGGGGGTCCCCATGTGGGGTTGTCTTGGGGGGGGGGGTGGCATCGTCCATGAAAATCGCTCCAAAATCGTTACTGAGGTTTTCGGGAATGCCGCTTGGCGTCACTCCTCTCTCGAACAATCCTCCCTTCAATTTACTTCTTTTCATTAGTGTCTGCTCGATGGTCTGGTCTATGAAGATTCCGGAAAAGAATTTTTTGACTCGTCGACAGTACCCCTGTTTTGTGAATACTTTATACTCATCCGGATCCATGTATTGTGGCAAATCCTTAAAATCTTGGACATAAATTTGGACTGATTTGGCATAATTGAAATTACCCGTTGAGTGGAAAAAAGTAATAATTTTTTCTAAAGTACTAACACGCAAATCCCAGTTTCCACTTTTTTCGGCGAATATGAAATCTTTAGGAAGAAATACCATACGACAATAGGTTATCCACAATTTACAAGTACTATTATTATTTTCAATTTTTTCAAAAATGTTTTCAATTGCTTCTACCGAGTTTTTAAATTCGTCAGATTTCACTAAATCGTCCATGCTTCCTGGCATTTCATAAAATTCACTCCTCAGGTCTTCAGTAGCCGATTTAAAATCGTCATTTACCTTGGCAACATTAAATATGTGTTTGACAATTGCAGCTAACACTAGAGTATGACACCGTACTGCCCGAGAGTATTGCTTACCAACTAATATTTTTTTGACAATAGTATCTCCATATATTGAACAAAGATCTTCATGGAGTCTGCTATTTCTCATAACTACGCCTATGCAACCCAAGAACGATAAAAGAGTATGAAACCCGCCAAGTCTGATAAAGATGTGGATATCGTCCGAAATAAGCTTTGCTGCCACAATATCGCGGGCTTTCTAGTATAACTGTTGATCAAAGGTTATAATACAAGTTTTCATTTCATATTTATCAGTTTGAGCAACACTTTCCATAATACTCGTAAATAAGGTGTTATAATCATTAGGTTTGGAATTGATAAACGGCAAAAATTGGATTAATGAAACTTCATAATCTTTTTCGGCAGTTACCTCTTCTATAAAACCGTTCCACCCTAGGGGCATGTCTGGGTTCAAATATTTTTGTAAAATCCAGAATGCTGTGATTCTTGTGGCCTCTGTAAATTTTAAATTTACATCAAGATTTTCAGGCTGTATCTTAATGTTTGCCAATCCATCAGTTGGTTGTAATTTATAAGGAAGTACTTTTATATTATCAAGCATTTCCATTTTTTGCGAAAATAGATTGAGGTCTTGATATCGGAGTTCGAGGTAGCATACTTGATGAAGGTGTAATTATAGCAATTTCACCAGCAACATGAAACTCGCCTCCAAGTATAGTTTTGGTGTTGCTGTCACAATTGTCCCACACGAATTGGATGAACGCCTCTGGCTCTAAAGAAATTTCCATATGCTTGGCCGCGGACATACTTTTTAGTTTCCTTATATAATGCAGTCAAACCACACGAATGGAGCATCTCGATCATGTTTTTAGTACCGAATTCTCTGTGAAGGGCTACGGCTAGAGATTAGTGGAGACAAATAATGTCTTGGGCATATTGCAGACATCAAAACATGACCCACGAATGCAATAATTTGCTCATAATTATCGCTTTTGTCTTTCTTTCCGGGTGTATTTACAATTAGAGAATTAAAAAAAAAAATTGAGTTTTCGTGGCAATTTTTCATATAAATTGTCTAGCATTATGTCGCTTTGAGGATTCTGAGTAGAATCACACTGTTGTTTACGAACTTCCTCGACAATAGCTTTAGCAGCTTTTTTTAAATGCTCTATATCGGGATTTTCATCCGGGTTCTGTCTCTGCCTGCTATCATTTAGCGCATCATATAGTCCTTTAGTGGAAATGCAAATTAGAGTGGAAAATTTTCTTCCCTACTACCACGAGCTTCTGATCCCCGTAATAGCTCTTCAACCGAGACAAAATGGTGCGTTCTGAAGGCTTATAAACATCATCTGGTAACTGTTCGACTAATTCACTCAAAGTAAATTGAGTGTGTTCATGATCCTTAATATACTGTACAATTAACGCAATCTTGTCTGTAAGGCCAACTAAATGATTATGACAGTCCAAAGGGTTACAAATTTCATTATAACATTTTATGTGATACCCAGCACCTATGGTCTCAAAATTAGATACATTTGCTAATCCTAGAGTCGCTTCTTTTCTACGCTCATCATATTGACAATCAGGCTGTGACAAAGCTTCGACAATCGATTCTTTGACATCACGACTTTTGACTTGTCTCCATGTGTGCCTAAGCCTTTTTTTTTCGTAGGAAGTGAATTGGTACAAATAAAACATTTGTTTTTCCACTGGAATCCATCGTTATTACTTTCTTCATCATTATTACTTTCTTTCTCTACTCTTATATTTTTAGAAGATCCCTCTCCTCCATTTTTTGACTGTGTCATCCCCCCCCCCCCCCCCAATGGCGCCCCGGATACCACCGCGCACTCCCACAGAATCACCCCCGGGTAATTCTAATGCCAGAATCGAGTTCGGCAGACCCGAAAACACCCGAGTAACGAGTTTGGAGCGAATTTCATGCACGCTGCCATTTCTCCCCCAATTCACCCTCGCGCACCCCCACAGAGCCACCCCCGGGTAATTCCAATGCCAGACTTGAATTAGGCATCCCCGAAAATCCCAGAGTAACGAGTTTGGAGCGACTTTCATGCACGCTGCCATTTCTCTCCCAATTCACCCTCGCGCACCCACACAGCCACCCCCGGGTAATTCCAATGCCAGAATTGAATTAGGCATCCCCGAAAATCCCCGAGTAACGAGTTTGGAGCGACTTTCATGCACGGTGCCATTTCTCCCCCAATTCACCCTCGCGCACCCCCACAGAGCCACCCCCGGGTAATTCCAATGCCAGACTTGAATTAGGCATCCCCGAAAATCCCAGAGTAACGAGTTTGGAGCGACTTTCATGAACGCTGCCATTTGTCCTCCAATTCACCCTCGCGCACCCACACAGCCACCCCCGGGTAATTCCAATGCCAGAATTGAATTAGGCATCCCCGAGTAACGAGTTTGGAACGACTTTCATGCACGGTTGCCATTTCTCCCCCAACTCACCCTCGCGCACCCACACAGCCACCCCCGTGCACCCCCACAGCCACCCCCATGCACCCCCGGGTAATTCCAATGCCAGAATTGAATTAGGTATCTCCGAAAACTCCCAAGTAACGAGTTTGGAGCGACTTTCATGCACGCTGCCATTTCTCCCCCAATTCATCCCCCGCGCTCCCCCACAGAGTCACCCCCGTGCACCCCGGGTAATTCTAATACCAGAATCGAGTTCGGCAGCCCCGAAAACCCCCGAATAATGATTTACGAGCGATTTTTCCGAGTTTCCAGTCGTTCCTATAATGGTGCAAGTTATCTTACTTTTTCCATAGTTTCAAACTTGAAAAAATAATTTGAAACTAACACGAACGAAAAACCGAAATTAACTAGCCAGTGGAGTCAAAGCGAAATCGTAGCGAAATGATCGCCGCAAGCAGGGATCCCAGATGTACTGAGCCTAAAATCGTGAACTTGATCATGAAAAAATCGTGAGAAATCGTGAGATTGTACTAAGTAGTACGTATGCGCAGTTTAGTGAAATATAATAGCGTTTTCGATGTATCTATTTGCTCTGTACTAGGGGAGGGAAAAGAATTGCCAACTTTTAATTCTCAGCACCGTTCTAACACTTATAACAGATAAAGACAAAAATACTTTTTGGCATTTTTAGCTTTGCTCTCGGATAAAATAAAAAATAATAAAATACTTTTAATTTTTATAACATAAACTTAAACAAAAAATTAATTTTAATTGTTTTGAATTGAAAAATCACAAAATTTTAAAATATTTTATTCAAATTGAGTAAGGTACAAACTTTAAAATTAAATTAAAATAAAATAAAGTTTAGTTTAGTCTATTTATTTAATCTTCAACTGAAAAAACTAATCTTTACACAAATACGCAAAAAAGGTTAAACATTAATAAGTACATATTTATTCGTTTGAAGAAGAAGCTGAGTCATCTTTGCCGTAAACTATTCGGCTGTTCATGTTCTTAATTAATTCTGGAATAATCTTAAAGTCATAGCATTTGCCACTATGGGAAACTAAGCTTTTTGTAAGAAGAATTCCTTCTAAAGTATTAGACTTTAACCGATTTCGTGAAGCTGTTTTATTTAGGTTAATTTGAGAAAAACATCTCTCTACATTTGCGCTTGAGTGTGGAAGGCACAATATATTAAAAACAAAGTTGATTAAATTAAAAAACTTTGGTTGATCATTACCCAACTTAATTTTCGAAATTTTCAGCCAAAATTCTTGGACATCGTCATTAACGGTAATGTCAAAATCATTAAAATTTAGGTTTCTTAACATTCTCCATTCGTTGTCGATATCTTGAATGTTACAACCACCTACTAAATTAGGAAAATGAATAGCCACATCTGCAATACTGTTAATTTTTCTGCCCATGACTACATTTGAGTCAATAAATTCCAACTTTGAAAAAATTGAATTTTTCAAAGGAAATCTTTTCAAAATTTGTTTAATACTTTCTATATAAAATTTAAGAAGTTGTTTCTTCACGATATTTAAAATATTTGCAGAACAAGAACTGGCATGTATGAATGCTCCAAAATACATATTATCTAGTTCTAAAAAGTTTCGAGGATTTACAAAATCTATGTCATACACATGCCCCTTGTTCAATATATCTTCTTTTATGTAAAACTCCATAATAGTTTTAACTATATTTGTAACTTCTTTATACATTACATGGATTTGCGGTTTTTCGCTTTGCATAATTACATTTAGGCTTGTAAAAAAGGGTAATACAAAAGATAAAAATTCTAAATATAGTTTAGTTTTACAGGAGAGACATTGGCAAATTCTTGAAATTGTTTTAACTCGCCAGACCTCTTAGGGCTATTAGCAAAGTAATTGTATACATCCTTTGTAAACTTTTCGATTTCTTGGGGCAGCATTTCACATGCATAAGAAGCGCACAAATGAAAACTGTGGCAGATGCATTTCATGATAAAAATATTTGGAATGGCTTCTTTTAGTCTACTAACAACGGAATTTTGAGCACCCATCATATTATTTGCCCCATCTGACGCGAAGCCAATGCAATTATCTTTATATGGAATACTGTAGTTATTTAGAAAATTTATAATATGGTCAAACAATGCTGCCCCAGTAGCTTCTTGTACAGGAATTGAGGCTAGGAAGTAGTCTTTGACATATTCATTTTCACAGTTAATTCTTACAACTAAAGACAAATTTTTAACGCATGAACGATCAGTCGATTCATCTGCAATTAAACTAAATTTATTATTTTTCATTAGTTCAACAATGCGTTGCCTTTCCGATACACCCATAACATTAGTAATTATAGATTTTACTTTTGTGGGACCACACCTAATTTTTTTTGCGATAGCAGAATCACTACAGGTGGAACGTAGTAAATCCGGCAAATGTTCCATTAATTTGAAAGGTAAGTTATGCTCGGCAATAAACCCTGAAATTCTTAAATCGGCTTGTTTTACCATAGCTTCTATATTCTCTCCTTTATCTTTTCCCTTGAACATTGCCAATATGTCTCTCTGCCCAGTAGAACTTTGACATGATTTTTTGTGCTTTGCTGTTTCTGCATGCTTAATAAGATCTCCTTTACCATGAGTGACTTTAACATCACATGTGCATGCTTTACACCTAAAAAAAGTCAAAACTTACTTTTTTTTTAAAAACGGCCAGAAAATTGGTAATTGTAACTTTTTTATTTCTAATAAAAGGCAATTTTTTACTTACCCCACACAGGGCTGATTTTCACGAACTTTTGCATTCTGTTGAAGTTTCAGCCGCTCATCACAGTATTAATTAATTGGTGGTATAACATATAAGGATTTCATTTAAAAATTGACTCACCCTATATACAACATAGCAAATGAATGAAGTCTATTAAAATTGTTTGAAAACAATCAAATCTGTATAACTACCTGCAACGTGTTTTGCTTTAAAAATGTATAGGTTTGGTCTCGTTTATGAACCACCCTTAAGGAATAATTGTTAAATCTGGTCATAAAACTTTTGTATTATTTTTTTTGTATTTTCAATAATAAAACAGCTATCGATCAATTACGCACTGGTGGGACACCCTGTATATGTGTTGTTGTTGGCTAACGTTAATATCGTTGGA